ACTAGCTTAGTTCTGCAGGACAGTGTGGAACAGCTTCACACAAAGCTTTTGCTACAAGAAAGAAAACCTTATTATCTCACTCACCTCAGAGGGATATATTTCAGCTAAGCAGAATTTCAGAGCAGCTGTGTTTGCCAGTGGGTGAATATCTGTCATTGAAGTTGGCTGGATATAATCTTTTGATAGGGAATATAGAGAATTCTTGCAGAAAGAAAGCAGAAAATTGAGGGGAAAGAGTAGTTTCGCTGTAGCAGTAGAAAATGCAATAGTAGCAGGGAAAAGTATTATTTGAGTTTTGCATTTTATATGGGGCAGAAAGGAACAGCTGGCTTGTGACCCTTAGAGGAGTTTTTTGAGGTATTTGCTCTTTGCAGTGTGGAAAACTGACAACATTCAAGCCCCAAAGGGAAGAACCTTCAATTCTGCCCAAAGCCAGTAAATTCAGTGTCTGGTTTTGTGACCTTTTTGCATGCTATACTTTCTGTTTTTCCTAAATTGCTGGTTAAAGTATAAAATCTGTTTTTATATACAGAAGTATGAATATTAAAACCAATGTTTTCATCAGTAAGAGGAATTTCAGAGACCTGAATACTCAGAAACTTTGTTCAGCTTGCAAAAAGCTGTTCAGCTGTAACTGAAACTCATCTAAGTTTCCTGAACGAGGCAGCTTTCCTAGGTGAGGTTTTCCAATGCAATTTCCAGTAATTTCTCTGTTCTTGATTTTGGTAAGGTCATCGGAGTATGTTATATTGTGGCATTTTTTTGCCATTTCTATTTCCAGTTTCAAAAAAGGAAATTATTGCAAGGAGCATAGACTGTGACAGGCTGAAAGAAAATTCCCTTTTTTTTGCCTAAGATTTCAAACTTAGCTTTCTTTAGGCTTTAGGCAAAGATTGCTAAAGGTGCAGGTGACTGTTACTGAACTTTGTTCTCTAGCCTCAGTTCTTACTCGAATTTGGGTGGTATTTCTTGTTTCTATTTTCAGTGCCGTAATCCCCGAATTACCATTATCACAATACATTAGACCAGAGAGAGTAAGGTTTAGGCCCACAGAGCCACTTAAGTATTTAAAGCATTTCAAAGCCTGAATTCTATTTAAATCACTTAGAGCAGGTTGGTAAAATACAGTCTTGAACATAGAATATACAGTGTAAAGTTAGAAGAATATGGAGTGTAAAGTTAGAAAAATATCCCCATCACCTGTTTATTTACATTCTAAATATCTCAGGTTTTAAAATGTTAAACTCCCTCTGCAGGGGTAGAAAAAAGCAAATGTTTTAAAGAGTATTTTGACTTTAGTATTTAAAATGCAGGAAATAAACTGCTAGAATAGCTGTTTTGCATTAAAAAGGGGCACGACTTTTAATTTAACATATTTCTGATATAAATTAAATTGTTTATTTTTTCTCCAATACAAAATCTCAGCGAAAAGGAAAGAGAAAGTTGTAAGAATATCAAAATGTTCAGAGAAAAGAAGTTTGTTTGTTAGTTGCAATGACTTTTCATTTTCATTTTGTATTTAGTTAGAAATTAAAAAGTTGAAGGCAAAATCATTTGTTGAAATGAAACAGCTACAAAAGGATTTTTTCATTTCCTGACTGAAAAAGAAATTTGAGTCTTTAAAGTGATAGATAGAGAAGCATCTGTGTTGCATTATCTGTATCCCTTGGATTTAAGAAGACATAAGTGGTGGAAAATGCAGTTGAAAATAAAGATCTCTGACACTTTTTCCAAACATTTTCTTTTTATTCCCCCTCCCCCCAAGCCTTGTCTGTTGCCTCCAGGTTTCTTTCAGAAGCCCTGGTGCTGCTCTGGCTCTGAAGGTCAAACCTGGCCCAGGGTACTGACACCTCACCCTCAGCAGGAGTGGGATCAGCTCCTCCTCTGGGTTGCTCCTATGCAGCTGGTAGGTGCTCTAAGCTGGGGTCATACCATGGCTGGAACCTTCCTTGCAGGGCATTAATCTGGGGGAAAGGCAACAGAATTCCTAACCCATTGCCTGCATTTCTACCCTACCTGTTGCACTTTTGGCTCTTTGATACTCATTAAGAGGAGGAAAAGGAGAAGGTATATTTTGACAGGTGAAACTTCAATATAAAGAAGCCCTTTGCATTCTCATTTCTAAAATCTCCCTTTACTGATTTGTCTTATGGGCTGCTTTATGTGCTTATTAGTTTAACTAATAGTAAAAACAAATTTATCATAATGTGTGGCCCCTTAATGTGCAGATAAACAGGGATACAGCAGGCCCTGCTCAGACTGTAAGGTGTTCTCTTAAATGAAAAATGGGTAGTTGAATAACAGTCCAAAAATTATTTTACTTAGTATATTGCTCAACTGCCTAAAAGCTAATTATAGTACCTTGATAGAAAGAGTTCCAAGTGACAACACTTCCTTTATTGCCATTAGCATGTGCAAACACAGGGAGCTGGCAAAGATTAATAAGCTCTACAATTTTGTGCTGATGGAGTTTGTCTACCTGCCTGCATCACATTTCTTCCCTAACTGGGTCTCTCTAAGAGAGGAAGGTGACTTTTTGGAATCTCTCTGCTATTACTGTTGTCATTAACTTGGTAGGAAGATATCTTGATTATGTGCCAATTGTGAGAGTTATTTTTGATATTGCAGCCCTGTTTTATGCCTGTTAAGTAGATATTTTACTGTATACAGTGCCAGACTGGTGGGAATTAATGTACACACTAAAACTCAAACACACAGTCTTGCTATCAACACTAACAGTGTTAGAGCAGTAACCAACACTGTAATGTTTATAGCAGGTCTGTCTGTGTACATGTAAATAAATTTGACAGATTGTGCAATATATTAATGAAATTATGTTCAGTATCCTCGAAGGAGAGTTTTTAGTAGATACTACTCACAGATTTCAGCAATTTTTTTTTCCAAAGGAAGTAATGTGTATTTTAAGTTACTTGCTATTTTTGTGCATAAAACTCTTGATTTTTTTTTCCTGGTTCATTAGGATATTAGAAGCTATGTGCTAAAAAACTGGGCAGACTGTGCACTTTAGATGCTAAGTGATTTGAAGGGGTTTCCAAGATTGTCAGCAGAGAATCTGTGTGGTAGAGCTACTCTTTTGTTACTCTTAGCTTATTACTAATGGAGGTTCCCTCATATCTGTCATAATTTTCCTTGTATTTCTAGTTCTCTGCATTCCTGACCTGTCTCTATTCAATTCTAAGGTTAAATGAGATAGACAATAAATGCTTTAATAAATATGTAAATTTCAGTCAAAAAAAGAAAATGTGTTAGAAGTAATTAGTGCTGATATTTCCACAACAGATCTCATGAAGATGAATTAAGAAACTTTTTGATGGTGAAAAACAATTACAGACTTTCATATGGCCGCAAAATATGTTGAGGACAGAAGACAGGGCAGTTCTGAGATATCTTGACTCAACATTTTGCCCACAGCCTGCAGAGTCCTCATCTTATAGGGAGTGGTTTTGTTTTAACTGTGTTACTTATAAGCTTCAGAAAACTCACCATGCCTTTCTCAGACTAAAGAACTAGAGCACACTGCTGAGGGTTTAGGGAACTTGAGCCTTCTTCCTGCTTCACCAAGGTGTTAGGAGAGGTACCTATGTCACAGCTTCCAAAGATTCTCACAGATATAGCTCATCCCATGCCTGGAGGCCTTACCTTTGATGTGTTCTTGGTGACTATTTGACAAAAGAGGATCAAACACTTCTCTGCTACAGCCCTGAGAGCCCTGAGAGCCTGATAGCCCAGTCTCTCCTGTGGCCTCCCTCCACCCCAGCCCATATCCCAGGAGCCCCACTTTGGTTTGGCTTGGGGCTATTGGTGCCTGTCTCCACCCCTGTCTCTGTGTAGACATCAGCTTGTCTCCAGCCCCATGTCCTGCTGCTCCTTACTGGGCTCTCTGGACCCCACTTGGACCTGGCTCACCACTTTCCTCTTCCGGGGCTGTCAATGGTCCCCATTACCAGCAGCTGGCCCTGTCCACCACGTCCAGCCTCCATCAGACAGGGGGCATGGCCCATGCTGGGGTCACCCTGGGCTGCCCATCGCTCCTGGAGCAACTGACTCTCACAGTCCTAACACCCTTGTCTTTGGCTTACTATTCTGAGAAAATAAACATATTATGTATACAAATAACAACAGCTCCCTGCTTTTTCCACTGTAATGTTTCAGCAAAATTCTCAGGCTGAGTTAGAAGTGTAGGAGACCTGGGTTTCAGTCTCTGCTCCCAAACAAGATCAGCAAACAGGTCTTTCAAATGCATTTTGTAAGTACTAGGCTATCAAATAAAATGAGATAGAGTTTGGGTTTATCGGCATCAATTGGCTCTCCCTCAGATATGCAGAAGATGTGTTCTAAGGACACTTAGCAAATCCCTCTCTGCTGGTCGCACAGATGAGAATTCCAGAGAATTGCACCAAACAGTAAATGTGAAATAGGTCTCCAAGTAGCCAGGTGGTAAGAGGGGTCAAGTGGTGATGAGACATTACTAGGAAAACCTGGTGTGTTGAAGGAATGTAGCAGTCTACAGCGCTAGGAAATACCTGAGCAGGAGATTTTAGGGGTTTGGTAACATCTGCATACTAGGTGTAAACATCCTGTCTCATTGTGGTTGCTACCATTCTGCATCTATTAGTAAGCATAGAAAAACAAACCATCTCTGTAAGTGTCCCCATATACTAGGACACAGACATTTCTTTTCTAAACACAAATTTATCCAGACTAAAACCCCAAAGCCCCAGTGCAAGCAGTTTTAAAAACACTTAGTGATGATTTACTCGTCTACATACATTATATTATAACTACTGTGTTCTATCCCAGGTATCTCCATAGGGTTGGCAGGTATGACATAGGGTGCATATGAGTCTCACATCCATCTGGGACAGCAGCTGAAGGCCAGGTGAGATATACCTGAAACCCACCCTTTGCTTAGGAATGACCCAGCTCAAACAGTAGCAGGCTTAAACCAAAATAAGGAAATTCATACAGAGTTTTTTTACCTGGTTCTGATGAGATCTGTTGCTTACAAGGCTCTGCAGGAGAGAGCTACCAGAACTGTCTGTTCCCAGGCTACCTTACCTTTATACTGGCTGGCAGACATTCAGTTCTTCCAGTCCTTCCCTAAGTGGCACAGAGTGAAGTTTGTGGCACACCACTTATGCCCACATTCACTTGTTACAGCATGTACTCTTTGGCACAGCAAACAAAGCGATCCCAACCTCCTCCCAGAAGTTGAGATCAGGAGGGGTGAGGGCCCTTGGTATGCAGACGGAAGCATTTGCTGCTGTGTAAAAACTGAAGTCTCTGATCAAAGATATCAAGAGAATGAAAACCAGTCATTGGAAAATCTGCAAGCTTCTGAAATGGCACAAGTCAGAAACGTGATAGACAGATGGAGGCTTGAAGTGACCGTGCTTGTACTTTTTACTGACTCCTCTTGAGCTAGTACACCAGGCCTCCTTAGTCAAGCTAGACAAAACCCACTGTCCAGCAATGCTACGTAACAGCAGGCCATGGGGATGCTCAGGCAGCCCCACCACATTTATGGAAGCTCTTCCCATATGCCAGTGCACTGCTTCAGAGCCAGAAGGTCTAAAAGGCAGCACTTCAAAGGAGCTGTACAAATCCTGCTCCTCATGAGCAGGAGCAAACCTAACAGGTGCCCACCTCTGCCAGTGTAAACAGGCTGTATTTCTGATTCTCTCTCCCTGTGTGGCCGGGCTAATCGCCTGGAGGAGTTTGGTTTGTTGACCCTGTTGCTGTGCTGCTTTACCAGCTGCCCTGGCTCCTGCTCGCAGCACCACGGCACAGGAAGGGACGCGGAACCACTCAGAAAGCAGAGCCCTGGAAGCCAGCATGGGACACAGGGTTGCCAAGGCAAACTGAGCCACAAAACATCCAGGTTTTTTCCTATCTCAAGTAATCCTGGAAAAAGATTTGGACTGTGTAAAAACATATACCTGATAAAGAAGTCTGGACAGGCAATGTCACTCTTCAATCAGAAGACAGGTTTACCTTATTTTGGAAGTGGTCCATTTCCAGGAAATATGAAATAGTATGAATAAGTCATATTTGTTCATTTCTACACCATCAAATCTTCCACGGAGCAACAAGAAGATTAGAGAGGCTATCTTGTCATGTTTCTCAGTGCAGTGAGTTGATCAGTGCTACAAAATCCGTTTGAGAAACTAGGTAATCACACTCCTCTGGGCAGATTTCAATAGATATGAGACACTCTTCAAAACGCTTTTCTCTCCATTTCCAATTAATATTTTAATGAGCAAATTTTCTTTGAAGAACCTCTCGAGGAAACAGCAAATTTTATTTGAAAGGAGAAAAAATTTCTAAAAAAGTAGTTTTTCCATTTTTCTCCATTAACACTTGCCTTGAAGCCTGATTGAAAGAGTTTGATTGATCTGCTCGGAGAGATTGAGTCATTCAGATAACACAATAAAATTGTGGTTAAGTAACCTATTCCTAAAAATGACAGAACATAAAAATTGTAAAGATTTTAATGCAAAACTCAGGTGCAGCATTCTATTCAATAAGTAGACAAACCATGTAAATAAAGCTAATCTGCTACAACTAAAGCAAATTTCTATTTCATAGGATTGGTCACAACATAAAGAAATAGCTTTTTGTAGATGTAGTTCCTTTATGTTGAATTATGTGTATGCAATAACATTTTCAACAGGTAGACTAGACAGTTCTCACAGTGCTTATATATCTATAGCTCAGGTATTAATACTGTGAACTAAATAGCCATTAACCAGGCACACCACAAGGCCCAAGGGCTCTTACCCTGTTCTTGGCTCAGCCATCTGTAAGTCTGTCTCTTTGTACTACAGTTTGACTATCTGTAAATGGTTGTTTATGGCCTTCGTAAAGCATTTCAAGCTTCATGGGCTGGATATGTTGTAAAAGAGCAGGTATTCATTGGAGTCATTATGCCAGCGACTTAAAAGCCACCAACTATTGAAAACAATAGACATTAAGCTCTTTCTGACATGTGGCTTTAGGAGTTTTCAGTCGTTTCTCCACACCCCGTAGGTTGAACCTAGTGCGCCTTTGAGCAGTGGTCCAGCACCTTTGGAAGTGTTGGCTTTCTGGGGTAGATGTTTTATAGCTGATCTACAGAGAATATTTATTGTGTCTGAGACAGATTGGATCTTAAGCATGCACAGAATAGACATGGCATTTCTTGAAAGAGTCAGATTCTGTGCTCAGATGTCACTTACCTGGCCTCATCTGCAGCCACAAACATGAATAGAAAGGCCAGACTAAATTTTCAGTCAGAAAAAATGGTCATGCTAGAAGAAATCCATCTACAAGCTAACCCCAGCCAAATGCATTCTTTCATAAATGAAAATTATTATTTCTTCTGTACTCTATATTTTGCCAGCCAGAGCTGGAGGAAATCCTCCAGCTATTGAAAAGCAATAGTTAATGTGTAGGAGGCCTGGCTCCACAGCAATACTTGCCACTGCCCTGGCTGCTCTACCTTCACATCTCGCCACAGACTACAGTCCTGGCACTACAAAGCTGCCAAGTGAATGTGTTCCTCTCAAACTCTGTCTGCCAAGACTGCACGGGGACAGTAATACTGATTGTTCATTATAAAGCCCTAATAGGTGTTTAATGACACTAATTTTTTTGCAATGCCAGTTGGTATTTTAATAGCCTTAATAATAGCACATATTAGTAGCATTATTACTTGCTTGTGTAACACTATGCTGTGCCAGTAGTAACCAATGAACGCACAGTCTAGGAAATTCATCCACCTGGAGCTGATTTCTCTGAGTAAAGCTTTAAATTCAGGGAAATTGGATGTGAGCTTGGTGTGGGAGTGGGTGAGAGAGAGTTTTAACGCCCTTTTGGAGTTATAGATCAGCTTCCAATTCCTGCTGATTCAGAAATCAGTTTAAAAGTAGATAATTCCACCTGGGCCGTTTGTGTGCCTGCTGCTCCAGACTCAGTCGAGAGCGACAGACCTGCTGCGCAAGCCAAGCCACCGAGAGGTAGGAATCCAAGATGGGGAGATGCCAATGTGCCATCTTTTGAACAGCCTTTTGCATCCATCCTCCATATGACTAAAAAATTAATAGTAAGAACAGATGAAACAAATAATATTACTGGGTTACGATATCAGTTTTGGAGTGTCTGATGAAAGCAGCTCAACCAGCAGCCTCAGATATGTCCCAGCCAACGGGCAAATGTTGTAACCATTGATAGCAACTGCTGTAAATTATTTTAAAGCTATTACTCAAAAGATAGTTGTCAGCACCTCCAACAGGAGCCTGCACTTGGGTGATTCTGTGGTCCCCTCAGTGTGAGCAGATGTTGGCCAGACTTGAGCTGAGCACTGGTCCAGGTTGGGTATTTTGCTTTTGCTATTTGTTATATGCTTGGTCTGCACACTGAGCATCAATACTTTCACATCCTACACAGATCATCTTTTACTGGCACTGCCCTTCTTTCTGTGCCTATTGAGGATTGTGGTTAGCATCAGAGAGCTGGTACTAATTTCAGGCACACTGTTATGCTAAGTCAGTCCTGTTATGACTCACAGCAGCTCCCGGGATGATATGTGTGGAATATCAGTTTGACACAGTCACCTGGGCTCCTTCCTTTGGCTCCATGGTCAATCCTTTTCTTTTTCTTACTCATCTGCCAAGCTAAATGATTCCAGTACACAAGTCCCATATGGCTGTATTCCCATTTCTCCCCCTTTCATGTACTTCTGGGCTTCTTCCCCTGCTGCCCCAAAAGCATGAGAGGCCATAGCAGCTGCTTTGAGCAGAACCTGTAACTGCTACCTGGACAGCCACTAAAAAAAGATTGAGACAATTTTCTTTCCAAAAATTCCACCAGAAAAGCCAAGGACTGAACTGGCAGTTCAATGCTATTTTTCACATACCAACTGAAAGTTTTTCTAATTGATTGGCAATTAGCTTGTTCTAAAAGACTCAGGGTCAAACTCCCAGCTGGTTTAAATTAGAGAAATTCCAGTGAAATCTCTGATTCATTTTCCAAATGATTAAAAATTCAGGAGCAGCTTTAAACTGCCAATGTTATCCATCAAACAGCTGGCTAAAATTCAGAAAGATAGTACATTTTCTGTAATGATGTTTGACATTAAGTATTCTTCATGGACCAGATATAATCAATAGAGGTGCTAAAGCAAACATCCTGAAGGTTTAAAAAAACCCAAAAAACAAAACCCCAAAAAAAACATGGAACCGATAAACATAAATTTTAAGAATGCAGAATCAAATTTTTGGTCTCTACAGATGTGTGTTAGTTACCTTAATGAATCAAATTTAAGTTTTAAGAGTTCTGCTGTTCTCTTGGATGGAAGATTGACACTCTTGTCAAAGTGACTGGAAGGATTTTGCTAGCTCTCAGTGGGAGTGGACTACATCCCTTGTGGAGCACAATTCCCTAGCAGGTGTGAATACCAACTGTGTGCATAGCACAGTTGTTGCATTTTTGTTTCCTTTCTCTTTTCAGTTCTGCTTCTCAAAACATTCAACATATTGCTATTCCAGATAAATATTCTAATGAAATTGAAGGCCCTGGAGCTGAACAGCCTTGAGAGAATTAGTGTGACAAAGGAAGATGAGGGAAACTCCAGAATCTGCCTTTTCTCCTGTAACAGACAAAGACTTTGTCTCAGGAGATAAACAAACATCTTGAACTTGTTTCATAACTTCTGGGAAGCCTAATATCAGGTCTGCCTCTAACACTTGTATGTATCAGGAAACTTTCGTAAACCTGGTAATTCTGACTGCAATTCTTCCTATTTTCTTCAGTTACCAGACAAAACAGAGCTGGTTTGGGGTTCTTCCTCTTCAGTGTACGCATCTTACTTCCTGATATAATTACAGCCACACTGTTTTCTCTCTCAGCTCCACACTGTTGGGCAAGAAAGTCACTACTACTGAAGTCTATATTGTATCAAGGTAAGACAATGATATATGTGATATAGAATGAGATATTTCATTTTACAGGCCAGGAACTCTAAAAATAATTTAGATAAAGGCAAGCCCAAACTGTAAATTACACA